TTGAACCAAGCAAGCAGCCGCTCATGCACAAATAGATGCATCTAGCATGCGCTGGCAATGATTCATTACTACGTCAACACGTGGATAGAAAACGTTTCGTTATTCGAAAAGGACTCACCAACAGGACTAGCGGGAACGTAAATAATTTGCGCCATTGTATTGTCACGACAGAGTCAATAATAGTAGAACAAGATCTCTCACTTTTCCCGGACCAATTGATCGACTCCGCCAATCGGAAGAATATTTATACACTTTTGAGGTGATCCGATCATTAGCAGTAGATACGAACAATATGCACACTAGAGGAGATAACGAGTTGTGGTATCACTTCAAAATGATTCACGAAGAATCGGAGTTTGATCGCTACCGTCGATTCATTTTATCAAGTTCGCCGTGTTTTCGTTATCGACGCGAGTTTCACACAAAGTCGACGTTCGAAAGTCACCTTTTCCAAAACACTACGTGGTTTTGCGAGAAGACCTTCGCATTATTGTTTATTAGCGATTCAATCTGCTACGTTTTTTATAGAAACAGAAGTTCGCCCATTTGAAAGTTTCGACGGATATGTCGGTTCAAAAACAAACCACTAACCGATATGCGCACGATCGCTAAATAGAAATACGCTTCATACGGGGTGAGTGTCGATAGTACTGATATCAGGTGAACTTTGTCTGGAAAATAGTTTTTTGAATTCGGGGATTGGTCTATGTCCTAATCTGGTTCCGTACCAATGATTTTGGTACCCTCAGAGCTGGTTCAGGACCTATATATGTCTGAATGATTGATTCTAACGACGTATTGTCAAATGCGCCCTCAATGTTCAAGAAAACAGCTAAAAGTAATTCCTTGTTTTTGTAAGTATGTTCTACTTTTTCTGTTACCAGACATAGAGCCGTTTCTGTTGACATACCTGACCTGTTTGCATACTGGTCTCGATCTAATGGTCTGATAGCTAGTGATACGTCCCTGATATGCCTGTCAAGTAGTTTTTCAACGCAAATGATATGAGACAACAACGGTTTCGAGGTGGATATTATTGACTCAATTCTTTTTAAAAAACTACAGAAACAAGCCCTGAACCAAGTATATCCAGTTGAAAAAAATGACACTAAACATCATGTAACTATAATTTACGTTGGTGATCCTATTAATAATATCGCTCGTTTTTTACAAAGCAAAGAATTGGGCGTAGCCTACTGATAATTTGACTAAAATCATTAAAAACAATAAAGATAATACTCTTGTTTCGGATAGATCGTGAGTGTACAAGTTGACTTGTAGTTCTTGTCCAACATTTTTTATCGGATAAGCTAGATATTTTCTTCCAAAAGAATGAGAGAAAACAGAAGTAGTTTCAGCTGTCATACTTTCACAGATGTTTAGCATGTGTGAGAGGCATGCATTCAAAAGTGTTTTGCTTTCAGCGATTTTCTGCTATCGAAATGCATCAAATGTGTAAAAAAATGGAGTTGATTGCTCAAAAACACTCACAATGTAGTCCGTGTACTCAATGTTGACCGTGACATAAGGTAGTTGTACTCTGAGCCAGTAAAATATTCACGAGTGGTACGAGCTTTTCACAATAGAAGAGACCAGTTCTTGCCACGTGGTCGTACGGTCAATAAGTAGTATGAAGTTATGCGTCACTTGCGAGGAGCAATACGGAGAAAACTACTGGTATTGTGGAAAAACAATTCATGGCTTTTGCACCTGGTCACTCGTCATTATTTTCCGTAATTTTTTTGCCAAAAACAACACCGTAACCGTGCTTGCGCCACCAGATTCACCAGATTTGACCACCTGCGATTTTTCCTGTTCTCAAATTAGAAGGGGCCTATGAAATGATTGCGTTTTGCGACGATTTAGGAAATGAAAACCGAATCGCTGAGGTCATACCAAAGGGGACAAAATGAAACTTGATGAAAAAAACATCAACAGCGATTATTACGTAACGTTATTGGAACGTTTGAAGGACGAAATAGCGGAAAAACAGCCCCATTTGAAGAAAAAAAGTGTTGTTTCATCAAGGCAATGCACCGTGTCACAAATCAATGAAAACGATGACAAAATTGCATGAATTGACCTTCAAATTGCTTCCGCATCCACCGTATGCTCCAGATCTGGCCCCTATCAACTTTTCCCTCTTCTCAGGCCTCAAGAGACTGCTCGCTGGAAAGTTTAACGCCTAGGAAGAGGCAATCGAAACTGAGGTCTATTTCAAGCTTAAAGCCAAATCATTCCATTAAAATGGTATCAAAAAAAGTGTATGACTGCCATAATAATCGTTGTATCGCTCTTGAAGGTACTTATATCGAGCATCAGATAAAATTAATTTTTTTTCCAATGTTAGCTTCTGAAGTTTTCAGCCCAACTGTTATATTTTACGACAAATCAAGTTTTGTGATAAAAAGACTAAACATATCTATGATTATATTATTTTGCATTAAAAACATAAGGATGAGTGATTTTTATCAAGAATACTCGATATAACGTATTCTAAAAACACTTTATTGTGTGATTTTCACTGGACAGTTTTACAAAAACGTAACACGTGTTTTGCCATACAATGGCTTCCTCGGGCGTGTCTTAAGGAAGCCATTGTATGGCGAAACACGTGTTGCGTTTTTGTAAAACTGTATAGTGAAAATCACACAATAAAGTGTTAGAATACTTTAGTTATGGATTTTCATCAAGTATCGGAATCCCATCATAAATACTCGATATTTTTCGTCAAACCCAGATACAAATTGCAATTAAGAGAAGTCCAAAAATATCTATTACTTTCGGAAATGAATTTTTGAATCCTCAAACTATTGTAATTTCAACCTTGTTGTATATAGGGCTGTAGTTTTGATGAAAAAATAACACGACTCTTACCACTTTTCGGGATTTTTGTTGAACCGTGGACGATAGTTTTTTTTTCAGCCATGACGACACGACAATGTTGAAAACTGGACTAATTTTTTTTTGTCACTCAGCAACTTATAAGACGATAGGAAACCGATTAGATGCTATACGAAATTATCAATAATTATTACAACACTGGTGATTATTTGAAGTGAACCATACTATCTTGCGTTGGCGGTAATTATAAGCACATGATGGTGAAAACATTAATCGATCCAAAAAAAAAATATAATGCTTTAGACAAGGTCGATTAGACATGAATAGCAGGAAGAACCTATATTTGCATTGAAAATTGAAGTGTACTGTTATTGACTATTGAGTTATTACGACAAACAAATGAAAATTTCAATGATAGTAACACAAAAAAGTATTTTTTACAATTCGTAAGGGCAAAGTATCACTGAATGATCGTTAGTATTACATAACCAAAAAAAATATAAGTATACGAGTACGAAGTACGATATTCTTTACAATAGCTAATGTTTTAAGGTACATCTCAAATATCTCAAATTGTGGAAATGTCAATCCAGTATTCTTCTTCAAGTCGGATACCTACACATCTTAAAATAGATGTTTAAATATTTTAACAAATAANTATATATATATATATATATATATATATATATATATATATATATATATATATATATATATATATATATATATATATATATATATATATATATATATATATATATATATATATATATATATATATATATATATATGTTAGCGATATTTTACTGAATTGTTTTGTGGAGCGGCAAAGTGAAATTAACCGGAGCTTTTATAACGATTTTGTAAATAGTTCTCTCAAAAATCTCAAGAATTGTAGGTATACATACATTATTGGTACAGTCACAGATTCACAGGCAATAAAGGTCAAGTAAATAAAAAAAATATTTAATATATTTTATCGAATCACTATGTCGAGGAACAAACGTGGAATCTACAAAAGATTTGTGAGTTTACAATATTGAAAAAAGTATTGTTCACATAAGTATCGCCATCTGGCTTTCGGTGGCTAAAACAATAAAGTACAAGCTTTTAAGGAGATTCGGTTCGTTATTGTTTAAATAGTTAGATGAACATTTTATTACATGTTATGTTTCTGGCAACTACTTTAGAAATTTTCTGTTCTTCTCAACTAAGAGTACATGAACGACTAGCAAAAATCACCAAAATTGATGCATTTTTCGTATTTAGAATCACAATATTGTCACAGCCACATTCGAGTGTATCCCGTCATGAGATGACTCGCTATACTTTTTTCAAAACTGATAATGCAACTCCTACATTCATTTCCTCTAATTTATCAGACAATTGATATCACTGTTGAAAAAATCATAACATTATGAGTTAATAACCCGTATCCGTTGTTGAAAGATTACTGGCGTTCGGCAAATTCCCAAAAAAGGCAAGGAAAATTTTCCACATAACTATAGATCAGTCGCTTTGCATTCAGTGATATAAAAAATTGTGAAGAAAGCCATAAACCATCATATCCTTACCGGATATAATAATGTCAGGACAGACAATTCCGCTTTCTGCTTCGATGAGTTTGTCGGAACACTGTTCTGAACCAGGAAACTGTACATACCCCAGCAACTCTTGATGCTTTATAAAGTTCAGATCAGACTTTCTTTGGAGTATTGTTCACATGTATGGAGCTCCGTCCCTAAGCATACCCTGAAACTGCTGGATCCCATCCAGAAAAAAGCCATCCGCCTGATTGGAGACGCGAACATCACTTACAACCTTTATAGTCTGGTACATCGAAGGTAGATTGGAGATCTGTCTATCTTCTATGAATNTTCATCACAGTATATGCACAACTCGAAATTTCGACTTTAAACACGAAGTTCAGAGACTGAAGTCTAAATTTCCATATTGAAACCGATTAAAGTCGAAATTTCGAGATCAATCGAGATCAATCAGAGTCGAAATTTAGACTAGAAATTAGTATAGAAATTTAGAGATAAAAGTCGGAATTTCCAAGAATATGTGTTAAAGAAACTCCACTAACGCAGTGTGACACTTCTCTACGGATGCCGATGGTTTTCTGCGAGAGGCTGCAAGAGACCTAGAAAACAAAAACGAACCTCTCCATGCAATGGTACTTGTTGGTGGTACCATTACAAGGTGAACCAGAGGCGTCAGTCAATTCGAATCTCTCGAATCGTGTTGTTGTTTGTGTTGTTGCGGCGCCGATTCATTTCTGGAAAACATCAGAGAAAGGTTTTTCACTTTCTTCGCAGATACGTGAGTATACAATTACTCGTAGACTAGCTAATTGGATGTTTTACATATATTCCTAATGGTGAAATACAATCAACTCGAATGAAATAGCTTGACCCCAATTATTAGAATCGCCATGTAATAATTACCAAATCGAGGACGATTCACGTTTCGGAATGAGGACAGACCAAAACGTTTTCAAAAATACAAACTCTACAAGGAAAACATAACCAGAACCTTCACGACGATATTTTGAGAATGAACTCATTGAGTTTGAAAGATGAAATTGACCATTATATCCTTTATTCTGGAAATACCACTTTTCAATTGTCGAATAAGACCAATCTTCAATCTTCTCTCAACAAAGACTGTCGAGCATCGAGATTTTTCTTGATTTTATCAACAGTCAACTACCCTCGACATCTTCTTCAGTGTCACTTAAACCCACCATAAAATCTTCGAGACATGTGTACCAACATAAAAAACGCTAGCCCGCGAAATTTGAATATCCACCCTATGTTTTTAACATACCTCGTATATGGGAACATCGTTTTCAGAAATTGTCTGCTCGACTGGCGTCAACAATAGAGTCAACATTACAAAATAAATAATTATTTCGCGGCAGAGAAATAAATAATACGTAATATCTTTTTCTTGCTTCTGAATTATTATATTACATTTACGAGATGAAATTAACCAAGTCAATAATTTAAGATCAGTGAAACAATCCTTTGAATACGTTTTATTCATTGAAATACAAACTGACAAAAAAAACTCATTTTTCCGAAATATATAACACGATCTGAGAGGCTTGATGAAGAATTAAAGAATGGAAGTGTAGAAAATGTAAACAAAAACTTTTTTTGTCCACTTTTTAAATCGCAACAGGTGTTTCGCTACATAATAGCTTCTTCAGTCGTATTTATACAAGTGTTACACACGTCACTAGGTAGTCTATTGCCAATGTGACAAAATTAAACAGTTCGTTTCAATACTGCCAGCTGGCGATGCATTTATTTCTATTGCTTACTGCTATGAACAAAATAATATTTATAATGAATTTCGTTCTTCACTTCACAAGTTTTCCTTGACGAAATAATCATTCCGGTTGATCATAAAAATTCCATTCATCATTAAGTTATTATTACTTCATAAATAGATAGCCTTCGATCTACTTATTCACTAATTAATCAAAAATTGCGTTGAAGGTATATCATTAGCAATATCTATAAAATGTCAAGAACATCCATCACAGTTCGTTATTCGATGAAAATGAAATGTATTTTGAGGAGAAAACCTCTCAAGCATATTTTCTATGTTATGCCATTTGTGTGGAGAAAAAGTATTCTTTCAAGCACAGCTTTGAAGATTTGACTTTACAAAGCGAGTAATAGAAATATATAACAATCAAAAGTTCACTTACCAACTTTTTACTGTTCATTGTTGTTTACTTCCTTCCATACAGTAATAAAGATTTTGATCAATGCAGTTCCGGACGTTCTGAAGCATTTCAGCTGGTAATTCAGCGATGTTCAGCAATAATGCGTTGACGTAAACCATACAGAGATGCAGGTTGTTATTTATAAACTGTTGTCTTTGAGTGACCACACAGAAAATCTGACTGATCTAAATCGGGTGACCTTGTGGGCTATTCTTTGAGATCGAGAGAATCCATGAGTTTCAGAAACCTTGATAGTCGTGGAACAGCTATCCCATATCCAGAAAAAACTAAAACATGTATTTGTCACTGAATGTTTTTATCTCATAGATAATTAGGAGAAATATTCATTTCGATGAGAGGTGTTGGCTTTCTACTCCTTCATCTCTATGAAAATATGTGGAAAACTTCTAAAGGAAGAAAGAAAGTAATCAATTTCAAAATGAACTCTTCACACAGACGTGCATTTGAGTTAATTTCAGATACAAACTGTGGGAAAAAACAGCCCTGCCGAAACAAACGCTTCCTGGTAATCATATTCACATATTTGACTCCACCTCAAATCCTCGTCCTCGTCGACCACTTAGAGGCTCATTTTCGAAGCTTGAATGCGTTTATCAACACTGTAATTGCCAAGTGCCTGAAAAGGAGCAAAAAATTGAAATTTGCTATAAATGAAAACCATCGATGTATAGAGGATAAAGTTCTTTATCGATCAGTATATGACGTGACATTGAAACGGTCAAAACCTTTGAAAGAACCTAATATTTTCTCATAAAATCTTCCAGTCGATGCATATTTTCAAGATTTATGACCTCTGCTCGACTTTTGAGGTTAACAAATTTCAACAATTTCGACATCATTATTATAAAACAAAATGGTTTAGACTTTCGCGGCTGAGGTTTTCAGTGTCATTATTTTTCGAGTTTAAAAGCCGTGGATTTTTGGAATTTTTTCTTGACGTTTCGCTGGCGCGAGTGGCTGGCTTCTTCAGAGGTTTAACCATCATGGCTTGCTGAGCGATGACTAAGTTTTAGGCTTCGTAAAGCGTATTTATGCCTTGTCAGGTAATCAGTTGTATTTGTACCTGCACTTGTACCTGTTACGAAAATTCTAGAATTCATTTTTTCAGGAGAAATTAGAAATCCTCCTCATGGATGGGAGATAGAGAGCTACCACAACATATAATTTCCTTGATCGTTGCACAATGATCCGGGAGGTTTCGGGATGTTCCAAAACTTTCCAAACTCTTCTCGAATATTCCAGTAGCAAAAAATCAGTTAGCCATCCATCTAGCACAGGGGTCTCCAAACTTTCAAGCCTTCGGGCCTAAATGATTTTTTCAGTTTGTACCAAGGGCCAATTTCTGCCCTTAACTATATTTCTAGAATAGGATAGTCGCAAAGTGCGCGACCGAAGCAAACTTACGCTTTTTTTGCATTTCAATTATTATTCTGTTGTGGTTCTAGCTAGTGTATTCCGATCACCTCGAGATGGCAGTGATAATTGCATATATAAAGGCTAGCAGCGCAACTGCGAGTTAGTCTGCGTAGGAAAGGCGATGGAAGCGAAACTGTCTATTGTGAAATAAAGTAACACCCATCAATAAAAGTATTTTCATTTGACTTATTGTTTTTATGTGTAATTTGTTGGTATGGAAAAGAAACGAAAAATCGACAGTGAATGCAGAACGTTTCAAGAAAAATGGAACTTTCAGTATTTTGTGATTGAGTCCAGTAATAAGGCGCTATGTTTAATTTGTAATGAAACCATAGCTGTTCTCAAAGACTATAACATTAAACGACACTATGAATCGAAACATCTTCAANCCATCTGCCTGTGAACGAGGCAACCAACCGCATATAAGAAATTTGCCCAATTCCTCTTATATGAATTGTTCCTTTAGATTAGATGATTTGATTTATAGCCAGTCTTCAAGTATACCTACTGACTATATGTGAAAAACTTCATCAAATGTGAATTTTTGTACATAACAATACTGAAAGGCTAGCCTTACGAATCCCCTATAAAATTGTTCTATAACATTCTCTGAAACAGTGTAGAATAGTCTAACAAAGTAAGTTAATTTAAATTTTGATTTCCCAACATAAAAAAACTCTCGTTGTGTACTATATTGAAACAAAATTATGATTTCAATCGTCCAAATAGAAGAATCTCTGTAAAATATGTTTCATCCAAAACTTCCTACACTGATATTTCTGGTAACTGATATCTTCCGAATATAAAATGAATTATTATTACTATTTCCAGCAAGAGGGGAGTGCGTTCCACACAGGACAGATGATGCATTCATACTCAGATTCTTGAGGGGCAGAAATTTCGTTTTGGAGAGAGCTCATAGGCTGGTAAGAACATTTGATTATCAAGTAAAAGAAAATTGTTAGGAGCAGTTGTTATCAATTCCGCAAGTAGTACGGCTTAAATGGATTTCCTTGTAAGAGTTGTAGAATAATAGAAAGTGCTGGAATGTATGATTCAATCAGTTCACTTGACATTTCAAAGTGATACTTCATCTTCTTATTTCGATATGATTCTTCAACGAAAGAATCAGCAGCTATTAAATTCAAAAACTATCGATTTGATTTTAAATTTGCCAAAAAAAAGACTGGAAATTGGTCAATGAAACACAAAATACGTATTGAAATATGTATTATTCAGACAAATTTATATATCGTCGTTATATCGTCTTCAAAGTAGTCCCTTCCGAAATAATACATTTACGCCAACGAACAACCTAACCATCAAAACGAAACAAAGCATTTTTTCAAATCGACTTCAGTACTCTCTGCGAAAACGGGGCCTCGAAGTCGTAATTTGAGTCGATCGGAGTCATATCTGGTGAATACGGTGGCTGTTGATGATGCAAAATCAATGAGTTTTCTTTCCACATATCCGGTCTTTTCTGAAGAATTTTCTCTCCAAAACGCAACGTTACGCTCAAATAATATTCTTCATTTATTGGATAAGCTTCTAGAAAGATCTCCGAGTGTACAGACTATTTCGACTTTAATCNATATGAATTTGTTGACAAAGTGATAATAAATCATAATATGATATTATATACGGGGTGTTCCATTTGAAAAATCAACGCCGCTTCGTCTGAAATATTTTAGGCGTGTAGGTCATATTGACCTACACGCCTAAAATCATCCTGAAAATGAAATTTTCAGGTTGATCCGTTGAATAGTTTGTCAGAAACGGCTAATTAACGCTCATCATGAAAAGCCCTGTATAACAATAAGATATAACTCATACAAAGTATTGGACAACTCACTGCCCAAATCAATGACAATTGCAATCCTCGTTAATTTTAAAAGGAAACTGAAAAAACTTCCCTCACAGAATATTAACTATGATGCGTTTGACTTCAACTTTACTAAGTGACTATCGTCAATGTAGGCATTGTCTCTATGCATCTCTGTTTTTACATTTATACATCCATTAACTTCATTTTGTGATGGTATCATATACCATTTTTATCAACCACCCACTGCTTTTCGGTAATTTCAATTGTTAATTTACATTTATATTATTTATTATCGACTTTCCACAGCACTTAAGTGTAATAATTTGACCAAAAGAAAAATTGTATATACTAATGTATATAAACTCCTTATTTTTTCCATATTTTATTCAAAGGAAACTGGGATCCGGAAAGACTGTCAACAGATGAATTATTCCAGTCGACCATGATAGTGCTGGAACTGGCCATCCTTGAACAGAGAGCCCAAATTTTAGGCGGAGTCTGTATTTTCGACTTGGGAGGTCTTTCTCTACAACAAGCCTGGTACATCACCCCGTCCATTGCGCACAAGATCGTGCAGATCATGGTGGTAAGTATTACGTAAAGTATATACATTGCTGCAAAAGATATGGAGAAAGCCAGAAACTTTTGTAGGCATCACTTTCTATACGAGTAGGGCAAATATTGTTGCACTAGCTGAATTTTTGGAAGAAACAACAATCCTTTGTTTGAAAGTGATTGACTATGTTTCATGATCAATTTCATTAGTTCGGACTACCTTTGTCTGATATTATATAAAATGATTTGAAGTCCCTGAAAGAACTAATAAAAAGAAGACTTAAAAATGAATAGCTGAAAATAACAATTATATTAAGCAAAAAACCTGAAATGAAATAATAGTAGAATAAAATACAAGTAAAAATAGAACAATTGAACAAAACATAAAATAAAAAGTGGAGAGATTCCAAGTCACGTTAGTTCACGACGTTTCACAATCGTCTTCGGGTGATGACTGGGCTAATTCCTCCGAGAGATGACTATTTATGGATCATTCGAGTTCTTTCACTTATCTCCGCGGAAAAAGGAAAGCGTAGCAACCAAATTTTGATTTCGAACCCGACAAGATATAGCAGAAGATATTATAACCTCGGCAAAATGCGCCAAGAGCTGAACATTGTCGAATACTTCAAAAACATTAAAAAAGAAATGTTGAATACCTTCTTCTGTTCCACTTGTGCTGAAAATCATATACAAGGTCAATTTTCAATTGCTTATTACTCGCCAGAAGCTCTAAATCATGTAATGTCATATAAAAATTGCACAGATGCGAAAGTTTCCCACTACCGTGATAAGAGTATTTGGAACATTTTTTTGACATGGTTTCTCATTAGGCATAATCCACGATAAGTGGTGGAAATCAAGAATTGATTGGAATTTCTGAAAAATTCTATCACTCTTGATTATTGTCAAATTTCACTTCAAAAATTTCCTTCCTCTCCTTGCAAGATCTAAAAAAGATGAACAATCTGTCTCTTCAAAGGTATAAATATCCTCATCTGTTGTGTAGAAACAAAACCAACCGTCTATACATTCTGAAGGACGTCTGACTTCTCGACAATAATAATAATACCAGGGATATAGTCGCTATTTTTCCAACCATGAAGTGAATCGAAAGTTTATATAATGCATAAAACACTAGATAAAAAATACAAGGAAATGCAAATTTTTTCTCCGAAAATATCTGAAAATAATTATACAATGTATGCACCCATTATTCTCAGCACCCCATAATTATGCAACTCGGCAAAATTTGTAGTACTGTTACGCAATTCTGCAATATTGCTGCAGCGAAAGTAAGCTGCATGACATGTACCATTCATGTTCATCTCTCCGCTAATAGTAGTTACTGTTAACAGTTAATACGATAAAATGTAGGAAGTAAAAGTCTTTCACTGCAAGTTTCAAAGTCACTCAATCAACAGCTTTCGAATCTGTGGACAAGGCATTGAAAACTTTTTGGATAATATACGTTTTATGATGTTCTTTTAGGGTTTTTTAGGAGAGCGAGAAAAAAAAAGAGTTATCATTTGTAACATTATAAAATATCAGGAAGGAAAAGATGAATGGAGATCAATGGAAGATTAAACTTCCCCTTGAAGATGGTCACTTGGTGATCGAAACACGTCTCGAAGTGTCGGGATAAAACTCCAGTTATATTCATTACTACACCAAAGGCTCCAAACACAAGAAAAGATAAATGTTGAAGAAAACATAATTTTGTTGAGTATCAACTACATTTTTAAAAGGTATTGGTCTGGAAAATATAAATATGAGGTGTTGGATACTTGAAATTTTGAACGATTGTGTCATTTTTGTTAGAGAAAACATGTAATTTTTCGAAAATTTCAATTTAATGACACGTTTTATTATTGCACAGGAAAATTTTCCATATCATAGCATATATAAAAAAATACCTGACTCCATCAAAAACTTGCTCCTTATAAAAATGAAGAAGGAGCTCAAAATCATGCTTCTATCAAAGGCATATCATTCGCTAGAAGAATATTCTGCTGACTTCTGTAGACTAGAGATGTCTGCTAGAATTTGGTGCCTACTATTATGGAATTGAACTATAGTTTGTATTCTTTTTCAATACATTGAATTATATGTTTGTCTGTTTATGTGTTTTCTTCAACAGGAAGATTAGTTTGATCCTCCTCTTGAAGATGATCACTTGGGGATCGAAACACGTGTCGAGGTGTTAAAATAATGGTTTGGTGTTGGGAAAAAACTCCAGTAATATTCATTACTACACCAAAGGGTTTCAAACAGTTGAGTCCAGCAAATGACCAATTCTAAAATAGTGTTTTCCTCTGCATTCCAGACTTCCTTTCCAATGAAAGTCCACGCCCTCCACATCGTCAACCAATCCTGGATCTTCGACATGATCTACAACATCTTCAAACCCTTCGTCGACGAGAGGATGAAGGAGAAGATTTTCTTCCACGGCGAAGACATGGAAAGCCTCCACCAGCACATCGATCCGAAGCATTTACCAGAAAAATACGGAGGAATCCATCCCGACTACGACTACAAAGATTGGATAAAATATTTCGAGAACAACGAGAAAATCCGATGGGAGCTCGAAACGCTGGGATATCGGGACGACAAGGAGAAGACAGATTTGGGCAAGGAAGAAGTATGAACGTTGGGTTTTTTGGGTTTACATAGTTTATTGAGGATTTTTATAGAAATCCTTCTCATATGTGAACCACAGGAACATTCCAAAAGGTATTGTTGGTAATTACCTATTCGATAATTTAGTAATTTTGAACACATTTCTTATATTTTGTATCAGCAAATGAATTGTATTGAATTTTTTCAATTATTCTCTAAGGCCCGTTGCCCGGAATGAAAAAAGATTACCTACTTTAGGATGACAAAATTTATAGTGTTCAAAACGCCTATGTTTTCACGGCCCAGGCTTTCAGTGTCACCATTACTTTTTTTATTCGGATTTTATAGTTTTTTCCTGACGTTTCGCTGACGCGAAATCCAGGTACAGGTACTAGCATACCAAGCTACCCGAATCAACATAAATACGGCTCACACAGTCGTAATATCCAGTTATCGGATATATTAACTCAGGGCGTATAAACCTCTGAAGAAACTAGCCACTCGCCCCAGCGAAAAGTCAGGAAGAAATTTTGAAAATCGACGCCTTTAACCCGAATAAAAATAGTGACACTGTGAGTTCTGCTTTAATGGGGAATGTTCCTCAATTTGGGTTATTACAGCAAATGCTTGAACAAAATAAAGTTGAGTTTAATTCATTAGTTTTTCAAATTCACTTTGAAAAGTATTCAAATTGAGGTTTCAAATGTTGGGTTTTAATTTTTAAAGGGATTTGTTTCTAATTCACATATTGGCAACAGCGCCTATATCAAGTTGAAATCATTTATATGTACCTGGATATTCTACTTTAAAAAAGGAAAATTATCTTTATAAATCAACAATTGAGGCAAAATAAAAATTATAGTTCAATACCACCTCCAAAAGCCACATAAACAACAGTTGTTTTGTTATTTATTTATATAGAGGAAGATAGGTTAGGTGCACAAAATGTCATATGTCACAGAATGTCTCGGAACATAAGTCAACAGAACAGCACGCCTCTGAAATATGTCATCTTTGTTTGTCTCATACAGGTAACAGATTCATATCCTTTATTAGCTATAACCGATGTTGCCAAATGGTGAAATAGAAAAGATTATGAAAACTACTTGATTTTCGTCAGGAGGAACATTCCCCATTGTATTATTTTCTTCATGTCATGTTTAGTTCAAATTTTCTGTAGGAATTTCTGATATTCTGTTCTTCAATTGACCCTTTTTTTATTGTAGAAAGAGGCGAATGCGTCCCGCACAGGACAGACGACGAATTTCTGATTCGTTTCAGTTATATGTAATGTGTTGTAGCTCATGGTGCTTTCTTTTGACAATTTTTGTTTCTATTTTACGGAGTCTGTCTTATGCTTTCTTTCCTTTATTCGGAAAAATTTATGACTTATTTACATGAAAATTATTCACTTCTGAAACACAATACTTGGAAACTATGAAAGAAACATTTCTTCATGGAGATAATGAAATTAGACTTTGTAATTTATTCGTTAAGCTGCTATGGATATGTGATAAGTATACTGTGTTATACATTACGTAGGTTCATATTTTTTTGTAAAGTTGGTTGAATAAAAACTATTAAAAATTGTTTAATGTTACAGGCTCGGACTTTCATTGTTCAAAAATGTAGTTATTAGATTTGAAATCTATGTGAGAACAAATGAGATGGAATTGAATGATATGTTGGTTGTAAGTTCATCTAGTTTTCTTGCAGTGAAAGACAAAAAACGAATCTCGCCCGCGGTTCAACATTGTTCAAAAATGTAGTTATTAGATTTGAAATCTATGTGAGAACAAATGAGATGGAATTGAATGATATGTTGGTTGTAAGTTCATCTAGTTTTCTTGCAGTGAAAGACAAAAAACGAATCTCGCCCGCGGTTCAAATTCAAATATACTTTATTGTCTGAAGAATAAATTCTTATTGACAGATTCTTGTGCGAAATATAAATAACATATACATGAAATCACAAAAGTAAAATCACTAAAAGTAAGTGATAACATGAACTGAAAAGAGACATGTAAATAATAGCAAACGTTCGGGATATAAGAACATGGTCAATAAAATTAAATAAATCAATTTAAACTAAATTGAATCAAATCAATAAAATACCGTAGATATTACAGTTAGTCTCCTCAATTAAAATTATCATCGTAGAATTTTGCTAAGTTATAATTAGGTCCCTCAGAAAGCAAGTCTTTCAACTTTCTTAAGAGCTCCAAGGTCATTTATGGTTTTTATAGCTTGAGGAAGAGTTGAACATTTTGAGACCGTTGAAAATGATGGAATCTTTAACTAGGATCGAAGAAGGCAGCGATAATTCAAAACTGAATCTTTGCCTGGTTGATACATTGTTAAACAATACCCTATTTTTGAACCCAAAAGCAAATACCATAACGAAGATGGGATTCGAAAAGGGAATGATAAACCATTCTAGCTTCTGCAGATCCGAGCTCAAATGCAGTTACTCGTATTGCATAACATCTAGAGGAGAGCTTCGATTTCAAAGTATCTACATGTTTGTTGAATTTCAAATTACTGTCAATGAACAAGCCAAGGAATTTAGAAGTTGGTAGGTTGTCAATTCGAATATTATTTAGATGTACGGCTGGAATCTAGCAACGACAGGACACCACTTTTGTTTTTGATGAATTAAAGGTCAAGAGATTTAGGTCAAATCAGTCTTTCACTTTCGTGATGTCATTCTCAATAACTTCATACAACGTATGGTTGTTAGGAGCATGCCATAAAAGTGTAGTATCATCATCAAATAAAGTAAATTTCCCTTTGATGTTTATAGACGATAGGTCATTGATGTAGATTGAGAATAAAATTGGGCCCAGTACCGAACCTTGTGGGATGCCGCAAGTAATTTCTGCTTCATTTGAGTATAAAGTGGTTTTGACGATCTGAGTGCGATCTGCTAAGTATGACTCAAACCACTTAAGACTTACTCCAGTTATACCGTATTTACAGAGTTTCCGTAAAAGAATTTTATGATTCACGCGATCAAGTGCTTTGGCTATATCACAGAAGACCGCAGGAAGTGTTTTTTGCTTTTGGAAACCAAACTGGCGGTCACTTATTATTTTGTTTTCATTCAGAAAGCAAAGGAGTCTTGTTTTGACTAATTTTGCTATCAATTTAGCCATTGCAGAGATTAGAGAAATTGGACGAAGATTTAATGGACCATTGATGACCTTTCCCTTTGATTGATATCGAGGCTTAACTTTGCAACTATGGATAGTCACTACAGAAGAATCACTAATTTAAAATTACACAACACAACAAAGTTTTTGTTTCGGGGTTGAAATTAGATGATTTTAATGTATTTCCACGTGTTAAAACCGAAAGTGACCATAAAAATTATATATTAGCTCTTGTTTTCAAGATATAGTATCATTATATTATATATATGTATATTGAGTTTTCAACAAATGAAATATTTCATCACCAACAGTTGGTACACATGTTTGTTTACATAACACCCCTCTCATCAGCTGTTCTTAAGTAGTAAACATAACCTATGTGAGTTTGTCAATTGTA